CGATAACTGTTCACCAATTACATGCTTTCACTAAGGAATTAATTTGTATTTATTTATAGTTATGAAAATTGTTACCAAATACTACTTATTTTATCCAGTTATTCATTATTTGTTTATTAAATATTCATTTATTTAATAACAAGTAATAACTTAAACTTATAGTTTAAAAAACCCATCTGTTATTAGGCACATGATACTGATGAATTTTTAACTATTCTTCTAAAAATATAAAATTAAATGCACTTTTTATCAAATATAATAAGCAATATCTAAAATTAAATTTATTAAGTTATTCAACATTTGTAAATTAGGAACTGCAGAGCGATTCTGTAAAAATAAGGTGTCCGAATTTACATCATTTAGCGTAGAAATTCTATCGATTCCATTTTTGTATAATAATAACACAAAACAATATTGATTGATTATTACGTGTCTCAGTGTCTATTCCTATGTCATTACGAAACTCATTTCACGTGACGAAACGTTATTGTGAATGACGTTTCGTCACGTGAAAGAAAGTGAATTCAGAGACATAAGTGAATTCGAATTAGGGTACGGATTTTTTCAGAATCACAAGGCTGAATGCAAATTGAATGAATCTATTAATTTGTACGTTACTATTAAGATTACGTAATAACTGGTAACACATGAAATGTAATTTTACTGCATTTAAATAAAATTCGAACTATCGTACATACAGTCTACAGTTCGTTAGGCTATACCAACAAATTAAGAAATTTGACATTAAAATTTAAACAAATAAATTTATATTTATATTTTGTAGTCTTGCCTACTTGGCAAGGAATTTAAAACACTTCACACTCAAACACAATGAAATGTTGTATTTAACAGAATACGTAAAATTATAGACAAACAATATATATCTATAATATATATATATATATTGTTGATATATAATTTGAATTTGAATTTGGGTGGTTTATTTTATATTTATTATGGATAAAAATTAACCGCGAAAAAAATACTTTTTACTCATTTTTACTAAGGCACCGCTGTCCGTCCGTCCGTCTGTCGCCAGGCTGTATCTTATGAACCGTAACTGTGTTGCTAAAATAACAATTACTAAAACACAAAATAAAATAATTGTTTAAGGGACAATAAAGGACAAACTGAAAAGCTTTCAAGGTCGAGTCTATCGTGCCATATCTGGCAGTATTATTCTGAACGTAAGACCTCTACATCTATATATACAACAGGAAGCATCATGTGCGGCCACAGGACTGCAGGCGCTAAAGTTGTGGAAAGAGCACAATACACCACACATGGACTTAATGAAAGACATCGATGCTGAATACCCGTTCTTCAAAGCAATAAATAATTACTTCCTAAACGGTACTTATTTGACAAAAAACACAGAATACAACTTTACGAGGATGCACCAGACAAATGTCTATATAAAGAACTCAGGATTTTCACTGACCGCTTCAAAACTAAGACAGGAACGGGGAATTCTCGGAAGACCTAAACATACATGTCTCAGTAGCACTGGGGACCCACAACACAGTCTTCCAAGCTGAGTGCGTACGCCATACTGAGTCGCGCAGTTAAAGGTAAAAGTATCCGCATACTCTCGGACAGTGTGTCGGTTCTTCAAGCGCTGGACGACAACATAATGACATCAGGTTTAGTATACGAATGCCACTGTAAAATAACAGAGGTAAGTAGGGACAATAACTTAACACTACAATGGATAAAAGGACATAGCGAATCCAGAGGTTGCGGCTGACTGTTTGCCCAGAAGGGGCTCGGACACCGTAATCTACGGACCGGAACCGTTAGTACCTGTTCCATACAGTTTACTGAGAGGTTGGATACGAGAAGGTTACCAATGCAAACATGACGAAGAATGGTCTTGACCCACCGACTACGGACAAGCCAGGGAAGTAATCTCTAAGGTAGACCCGAGACTATCAGTTAAGTTATGCAAAATAACGAGACATACACTGAGACTAATTGTGGGTATTCTCACGGGACATGGTTATTTTAACAAACACCTTTATAACCAGGACAACTCTGACAGTCCACTGTGCAGGGCCAGCTTGGAGGAGGAGGAGACGAGCGCTCACATTCTGCTGCATTGCAGAAGAGTGACGAGACAAAGGACTGCACACCTGGGCAGCCCAAAGACATTACTGGACACTACTAGACACTACTTGGATGAACTGGTATGGCAGGACTAAAGCCTCCACTGTTCGTAGGCAAAATAGGCACCAAGTGTCGTGTTGCGGAAAACACCCATCGTCAAGAAAAAGAAGAAGAACCGTTTTAGGGGCTCCTATAAAACATTGTAATTTTTGCGTTATTATGGTTAATGTTGTCGAACCCTTCGTGTGCGAGTGCGTCTCGCCCTTGGCTGATTTTTTGTGTGGTACAAACATTACTACTAGTACCCCTTCAACCAAAACAAACAATTATAAAAATACGCCATTTTTATTCATGATTCATGAATACTAATAATATACCAACCTAATATTTAACTTTTTTTATTGGGCCACAAAACTGAGTAACAATAATGTGATTATTTTATTTAATGCGTACAAACATTCGCATCTCAAATACTACCTACCGACACTTAAATATACTCGGTGTTAGCACAACATGCATGCATAAGTGTGTAAATTCTTCCAGAAATGAATTATTTATTATTTCAAAGACAATTTATGATATGATTATGTCAGATTAATTGTGAATAAAGTTCATTGAAATTTATAAGAAAATATCTTTTAAGACCTTTTTGTCGAGGCCTCAGAACCATTAACGATAACTAAATTGAATCTTAATACGAACTTAAAAACCTAACTAAAGAAAAAAGAATGTAGATATATTATTTAACTTTAATGTATTATTTTTCATAAAAACAAATTGCAGGTATCCAAATAGGCAAACATAACAGATTTATAATATTCTATTAGTTCTTAATTCACCTAAGAAAATACTGATGCTGCCATCTTACAAATAAGTTTTTTAATATTAATGTTTCCATATCATAAAATCATGAGGGTGAAATAGCAATGTCAAAAGCTCAACCCTCAAAGCTCGCAATAGCTTGCAAATTAACAAAGATGGCGCTACTATGACACAACGACATCTATCACTACAACGTAGTACTAAATTCGAAGCAGAAGCAGCGCTTCCCAAAGCTTCCTATTGTTGTTCTACTTTTGAAAAGCATACTTCATATCGCGGGTAACACAACTTTTCATTTACAATGTAAGATGGAGCTACTAGTTTTAAAAGTAAGTAGGGAAACATGTTCATAATTTGATTATTAAATTATGTGTAGTAAACTAGAGATCTTTCTTATAACTTTCTTGTTCAAAACAAAGTAGTATAAAAGTATTTTTTTGTCTTATTTTTACACAATTTCAATACAACAATTAACTCTCACTAAAGTGTTCGGAAAAGTGTTTTTCCATATTTTCAGCACTTAATTAATATCATACAGAAAATCTTATAATATTCTGATATAAAATTATATAATCATTTAGAAATTTTATTGTAGAAAAACAAAGGAACAAATTTTACAAGAATAGCTGACTGACATACATGGTTTTGAAATCAGTAAGCTACGAAAGCTCATATAGGTTGCACGTCACCGCTTCGTGCGTTCCAAAACACGTGTGTTTTACGTAAATGTATTAAAAGAAAAAGTTAGCGAAACTATTCTTTTATTTAGACAAAAATGGAAAACTTAATATGCGGTTCATTAAAGTAATTAGTGCAAATATGAATGTTTAGTTTCGTTGTAATTTGAATTGTTATTTAGTGATCTGGTTGTGTAGTGATGTTTTTATTTAGAAATAATTTTGGATTATTATTGCTGATGACAATATTCGGTGGCGTGAGGAATGGAGGTATTTATTGGTTTTTCTTACAATTATTTATTTAGAAAATGTAACAAGTATAATTTTTTACAAACAATCTACTTACTCTATTCATTGCAAAAATTTAGTTAAAAAAAATGCTGTCATAAATATCTAAAAATAAATAGGCTATATTTCTTTTATCTATTATAGAAATAGCAACATCTGACAGTGAATTCGCTTGAGACTGTGTAAAACACGAAACTTATTTCTTTTAACTACCAGTTTCATCTTTTATCATGTTATTTTCCCTAGTAGAAGACGGCTTTGAAATTATCCGAATAGATAGGTACCTATTCGGCTTTTCTTACGTTTTACTTGACATTATTTTTCTGTATTTATTTAAATAGCTTTCCGCTTGCGGTTTCGCCCGCGTTCTAGTACGGGTGTGCATATAAATAAATACATTTTTCTTGAATCACTCTGCATAGGTACAGTACCGAATTAAGCCAGATCGGGGCCTGTAGAAATTTTTCTTTAATGCCGTTGTGCCCTATGGGGTCCATAGATTGATTCTATTAATATATTGTTACATCAATAACATCTATCCATCACTATGGTTTACAATAAACAATTATTATATAATAATGATCTAATAATTCTTTGAGTTAAGTGTGCAATTACAAGCCTAGTGTAGTGATCACTGCCTAGCTAAGTAACTGTTCACTGTTTGGAAAATAAATAATATTATTATGTAGTTTATATAATAGTATTGTGTAGTTTAAAACAGACAGCGGTCTACTCCATGGTGGGAAGCGATTTGTTTTATGCTATCTTTCATGCCTTAAACTGTAATCGAACAACAAAAAATTGTTTTTTTTTTCTAATAACGGAAAAAATGTATTAGAAAGCAGATTGTGTAAATTTAAATGACAAAAATAACAATTTTTAACATGAAAATAAAATCAAATGTCTGTCTAACAAAATTTTATTATGTTAATCAATAACAGTTTAAAATGAAAGGAGATTTCATTCCCAGTGTCGTCTGTTTCCAAGTGTCGCCAGATTTGAGGTCGCAGGTTCGATTTCTGATTAGATCGGCAATTTCTGTGATAGATTCAACATTGAAGTGAATATCTTCCTTGTCTCTACATTAACAATCACAAAACTGAAAAAATGAACCACGACAACCAAATTCGGGCCGTTATAGAAATAATCATCGAACCTGGGACCGTGAAGATGGTGTATAAACCGGTGTGTGAATTACTCAATCACATAGGTAATAAACAAACAGCTGAATCTGAATGAGCAAATCTGAATGAATTTAGCGACATGTCATATGCAGGACAGTGTTTTAGCCAAACTAACAATTTACAGGTTATAAAATGACCGGATGCGATAATTTGCACTAGTCAAATGGTTAGTTACGACGACCACGGACTTGCTCATTAGCTTTTGAATTAAACTACTTTGTTAAATCTAATAGCTAATGGCGATACGACAGTTTAACACTTACGTATACACTTTTAATGACTAAACTTAAAGGTCCATGCAAATCTCAGGAAAACTGTCAAGTGTCTCATGAAAGTACGCAACGGTTTTACCGTCGAAGTGTGAAAGGCTGTAGGTCATTTCATACACTTGTCTCGTTCTCACAATGCGTGACCAATGAAACGCCGACCAGCAATTGGTGAGCATTATAAGCCCGTAGATAAAAGTACAAAAGAGATTCTGCTTGTATCTATACTTTTTGCAAAATTATGGTTCTACTTTTCAATTTTTATGCATTTATGCTTACAGATACTAATGTTTTTTTTTTTAAATAAGAGTTTTGAAATAATGCTAGATGAATGTATGCTAAACGATTTTTCCGAAAAGAAATTTATGCTATTCGCTATTTGGCATAATAATTAATAACGAAGTGGATTTTATTCTAGAATATAATAATTAATATATCGCACATCTAGATCTAAACTGAGACAACTCAAAAATTTGAGTGAGTTTTGACTTAGTACAATATTCAAATACTTGGTGCTCATACGCATCTATCCAACATAACAGATTCAATAAAGGTTCGGGGATGAACCGCTAGATAACTTAGCTTTCTTTTGTTGAATCAACAGTGGTCGCGCTCCTGCCATGTAAACAAATGTATTGTCAAACCTCCAAATTAGCGTTTTGAGTTGTCTTAGTTTAGATCTAGGTGTGCGATATAATAAAGACAAATAGGTTTTGAAGCATTTTGATAAAAAAGATACTGAATCTTATATGAACTAAAGCCTAAACACCTGTGTGAAATCAATGTTTAGTATTATTGCTATTGATCACTGTCGATTTATTTTGTCGATATTTTAACGTAGTATATATAATATTATTGCAATGTTATTACATACAAATAAATTTTATAGTATATTTGTCAACATTAATTAAAACAAAAACGGAATTCAACGTCTTAGTTCCACTAGGTACCGAAATGACCTCAGTACAAATAATGATATACCTTAATGCGGTTTAAAAACTGGCATTCACATCTTATACATTATGTTCTCGGATAGAACTCTTTTGATCAATATCGAAATCCGTTTCATGAGATGAAATGCTAGAAAAAGGAAGCATCTCAACACCTCTTTCCTTCTCTTCCAGATCCCGAACACTCTACAGAGAAGGTACTTCGTCCTGAGTACATCCACCCTGATGGTCTATCCGATTTCGATCCATACTTAGCTGATTTCAAGCCAGTAGTAGAAGAAGATGACTACATACCGTTGCCAGAAAATGACGAAACAATTGACGGTCTACCTATATTCCTCTTAGAGCCAAAGAATGCTTACGTGCAAAGAACAAAACCTGCAAATCTCCTTTGCAGAGCAGCAAATGCGTTGCAGGTCTTTTTCAAATGCAACGGCTTCAGAGTTGAAAAGACTGTACAGTTGGAGCATGTAGACCCACATAATGGAGTCAGGGTGGTGGAAGCTGAGTTGAATGTGACCAGGAATGAGGTGGATGAATATTTCGGTGGTACTTATGGGTGTGAATGTTACGCGTGGAACAGCAAAGGAAAAATACGTAGTCAATCGGTTTATATAGAATACGCTTGTAAGTACATTACAGTTACTTTTGATATACTTAACATTTTGGCTTAGGTTAAATAAATTATGCTACAACTTTTTACTATGTCCCTCTACTTGCCGAAGGAACTAGACATAAACAATTTTTTAAGTTTTTTTCAGTTGCTTAACATAATACTAGTTATAGGATTTTCAATCAATAATATTAATTTTCATATAAATTTAATTTTATAACTGCTGATTTTTCGTTTTAAGAAAATGATAAGTAACTTATACTTTTTAAATATAAAATATATCTGGAAGTGCTGGAGCTCTACTTACTACAATACCACTTCATATTTTAACAATGTAAGTAGTTAATATCAATTTAAAATGAAAGTAGTCGAGCAGTTATTCTTTTAATCAAGTTACTACGTCTTTAAATATTCTCATACTTGTCCCATCATTTTAAATTTGACCACACCATTAACACGTTACAACATTCACTGTCAGCGCAATACAATATATCAAAAGTTTAATCTTCCGAAGCTCGACTTAGTCTCAATAATTTTCCATTGGCAATGTTAAACATCGACATATGCGTTTTAAATTTTTAATTACACTCAATCTACAAATTTATGGCTCCGTATACTGCCTCCAGCAACGGCGGTAAATGCCGATGTACTCGGAAGGAGTTAATGAATATGTTAATCTTGACATTAAACGTACAGTATATACAAGTTATTGGTCGCTTTCTTTCAATGTTTTATTTATTGATAATATATAAAATCATTTATGCCGCGAATGATACTTGATAATATGATATGCTTGAATCGAATAAAAACTTATTTCTATGGACAGGCTCTATGATACACTTATGTTCTAATCTGCTATCAGTCTTAAGAATGTTGCCATTATCTTTGATATGAATAGTTTTTCGTATCAAAGACGATGTAAATGTCCTAAATATGGAATATTGAGATTCCTTCTTAAATTATTCCCAATAATTTCTATCCAGCTTAAAGCTTTTTTAGGAAATGCAACTGAGTTTTTCTAATACATAATTTACAAAAAAAAAACATTTAAAAAACGAACAGGCAAACAAACAATAAATAAACAAAAATATTTCAAAGCATTCGAAAGAAAGCCACTGCGGTGGAATTTCCGAAAATAAATCCAGATCATAAATTAAATTGAGACAATACAATGTTACATTGGTAGCAGGAAGCACACCTAAATATCCCGTCGGCTAAAATAAAAGTTATGACAATTAACGGTAACGCCTATTGTGTACGGGAGACTTGAGAGGGAGGGATGAAATTGGAGGGGATAAAGATTCGCTTATAGACGGATTTTGTGATCAGTGAAATATTAATACGAAGAAATGAAATGGTGACGTCAAAGAACATTATTAAAATCATAGACTAAGAAGATTATAATAAGGCAGTATGCTGGCTTCAAAATCTCCTTGAAAATCGTCGTCTATCCCTTGATTTATTAAATCCTTAATCATTTGAATTTACACATTTATAATTACTTGAAGAAATTATGATAGGATATAATGTGAGAACATAATTATTATGAGACGATGGATTAACTTACTTTTAATTACTTTTGTGCATAGAAATAATGTGCACATGAGGTTCAAGCAAAATTATATCATACTAGCTGTATCCCCGTGACTTCGTACGCGTAAATTATAATCTATGTCAACCCCGTATGATGTAGTTTCGGAGCTTATTTAATGCAAACAAACAATCAAATCTATCCTTTCTATAATTTCTTAGGGTTTTGTCACATCCATTATGCGATTTTATAAATCGTTTTTGACGCGCAATACACAATCTTCTATCCCTATCTATCTCGTTGACGGGTATGTTAATCGTATCGTTTTCTTTTTGGAAGTACGGATGAACTAACCATTGAGCTCCTTATAAAATAGTATTAAATTTTTATATACTTACTAAATTATATTATAAATGTTTACATTTATCTGTGTTTAAAGTTTTCTTAGCGGTAAAAGATTACCACCGCCTACTGCTTGTGCAAATTTTATTTAACACGTACTCAATTACGCTTATGTATTCTTATTTAATAGAGATACTTAATAACGAAAGGCAATATTATACTCATTACACTTCTTAATAAAACTCATTATGAGTCTAGTGAAGATTAACTTTGTGTTTATAATATTTGCTCATGGTAGTTCTTAATATATACTCATTCGATAGATTTATAAACAACTACGATACAATCGATATGATTGACAAACTATTACATTCACAATACGCCTTGTAGCTCAGTGTCTCGTGCTCCAGTTTCAAGGTTTCGCCGTCTCTAGGGTCCAGGGATCAATGTATGTAGAAAATGTACTTTTTAGTCTGGGTATTAGTTCGAAAAAAATATATTGTGTGACAAACTGTACTGTGCGCACTGTGTTTAATAATTTTGAAGTTTACCCTGCTATTCTGTTAAAAAACCGTCGCGATGTCGTCGTAAAGCGTAGCGCTGTACGTAACTTTCTATGTGCGAGTCCAATAAGCTCTGGGCTGATTTCGTATGAAATGAAAATCACATAAATATTAACATTTAACAGGAATACTACACCCCACACAGAGGCAAACCGTTTTAAAGCACTTCTGAAGATAGCAATAAAATAGTTCCTATTTTTAGTGACGTCGTCTCTCCAAAAGAATTTACGACTTATTAAAATTTAAAGGAGCAGAACTTACGCAAATGCATATTACTGCCAAGCTTTCAGTAACTAAATAACCTAATCAAGATATTTTCAAGATTTTGAAATGCAATTAAATTATAGTGTCGGTGTAAACGTAAACTGGGATACATTCCCGGCATTTTGGGCTCATGTCCAAACCAACGGACATTTGAAAAGAATGCCGGGCAAAAAATGATGAAATTAATAAACAACGCGAAAGTGGAAAGTTATAGAGACTAAAGGGGAGATTAACTAAACGTTCGATCGATCGACACCGGTCGACGATTGTAGCTTAGGCTGATAGAGAGGTGCTATTGATCGGTTTTAGACAATTGGTATAGGAGACACTTTCGATTGCCGTCTACTAATGGATTCTATCATCGATCGATGTCCTCAAACGACAAAAAAGAATTATTGCAGTCACTTTCACCGCAATTCACCGCAATTTCTGCAGTCACTTTCACCGCAATTCACCGCAGGACTGCACATGTGCGTATTCTGGCCAGTGTTCTATCACTCGAGCTTCCAAAAACATTGGAGTTCTTGTGCTCAAATGTAAATGAATACTATCAAACAAATATTTTACTAGAGAAAAGAACATTGGTGTACTTTTTCAATAAAGGGTTCACCCATAAATAACTCGTCTAAATAATAATAATGCGCCTCAACATTGTATATGTATATCGTAATTTTTAACTGCCTTTTTTTAGCACGCCCCATCCCTTCTCGCCGGTGGGGTGGCTAGCACGGAATCATTACTCGAAGGAAACATTATTTCCGCTCGTTAAGTCGAGTACTCTGCCGCTTGATAAATGCTTACTAGCTTTTATTTGGGATGACTTGAGGCGTGAATCGCGATAGGCGATATATCTAAGTTGCTCTTGTACATGTTTTGGAACGTGGAGAAAGGAAATTTATCAAGCGGTGTTCTCTTTCATATACCAGTGATGGCTTTATATAAGAGTGTTTATGAAATAAAAAAAAGTAATATTTAGTGATAGATTGTTCATTAATTTTATTATTTGTTGTTATTTGGGTAATTTGATGATATTTGGATTAATTATATGTATAAAAATTACCGAAAATCCAATGCATTTGGGCATATTTAAGCAATAACATTTCAGCATCTTAAAAAATAACCAACAAACCCTTTTTAAATTCTTGAGTGTGAATTTTAGAAAAAGTACTAATTTTTCATAGGTGTACTCATTCATAATACTAAACTATACTAATATTAGACTGTTTGCCTCTCTCTCTCTCCTCTCTCTCTCTCTCTCTCTCTCTCTCTCTTTCACGGCGAAATTGATGTGAAAATTGATAACGAGGATCATACTGTTTATCCTGAATGTTGTCACTATGTAGGGCTCGAATCAAAATTGATAGTATTCTATTCGTATTTTTTTTTTAATAAATTAGTTTCTTATTGGTATAGATATAAAGAAGCAGTTCGTTCAGCAACCAGTATCAGCAACTGTAGAAGCTGGTAGAAGTGTCACGTTCAGGTGTTCACCGCCTGCTGCCGCTCCACCTGCAACCATCAAATGGATGAGGAACGGAGCGCCCATTGAAGCGACAGACGAGGTGTTGGTACTACCTAATGTAGGACTTCAGGTACGTGATGTAGAAATTCATTTTTTCGTATAGGTTTGTGTTACGTTTTGCTGTAAGATCAATTATTAATCTTTAAATTTAATTTACATTTATTTTAAATTAAAAAATACCTGCATAATGGGTACTAAGTAATTTCAACAGTTTTTTTATTTGTTTTTTTTTCTTGATATATAACCACTTATCTATTCGATGTTATCACGATAATGTAGAAAGTACCTAATCATAGAAATACAAAGGCGAAAACTATTTTCTATATTTTCAAAAAACTTCAATGGATTAATCACTGTATTTATTTAAGTTAAGATTTGAAGTCATAATTGAAAATTGAACTGATATAAAATCTCAGAATTAATAATACAATCTACAAATAAGAAAATCATCAAAACAATACATATCTGTAACTTGACAGATATATGTATAAAGTTTTTGTTTTTTCATATAATCAAATTATTCGGGATATTGTTTCGTATTTAACTCTATTGTGCTGTCACTTTGAATTTACGTCATATTCGTTAGAATTCCACAAAGAGAATTGTTCTTTGCATACATTAAGATAAGGATTCCAAAATGATAGCTATGTACCATGTCAGTATCGGTTCTTCGTAATGTAATACACCATAGATACGAGTATTATAATACCTACTTACTAGTAATGAACGAGTGACACCCGAACCCTCGCCATTGTTGTTATAATATCTAAACATGCACAGGACATGGCGAACTACACGTGCGTCGCCGAGAACATAGCTGGTAGGCGGGAGTCGGATGTCGCCGTATTATCTATATACGGTAAGTGTTACAATAAAAAACAGTGATAAAATATTTCTGTTCTGATATACGAGTATTAAAAATTTCTAAATAGATTAATGTCTAAATTACTTGAAAAGACAAAGCTAGAGACAGATTTATGACGTCATAAAGGACCGATCAGCGCCCTTATTCTGTAACTCTGGCAACTTGTGAGGACAACCGAATATGTTCATAGAGCTCTGTGGGCGAGCCGCCCGGTTTTAGGCGGTTTTGGTGTTCTGTAACTCATTTTTAATAAATCAGTAATCCTAGTTGATACTTATTTTTTAATTTAGATGAATGTCACGTTTATGGAATACGAACTAACAGGTTATCGATACAAGATATTATAATCTAGATCGCTATATTGACATTTCTAAATTGCGAGCCATTGATAGAAAATACGAATTAATGATTTTGACACACTGGAATTGCTCACATTTTTCGGTGATTGCGACTTAGATTGTCGGTTGCGTTAGCGAATACATCTGCAGGAAGCATCCTCACCGTTAGGGTCGCAGCGAGTCTCTAGTACGCGACGTATCGTAGTTATTTTAATATTACAGAAAGAATTTAAAACAGTTTGTAAATTACTGAATGAGTTTGACTTTTTAACCAAATATATATTAGCATACATTGCTCAGGTTTTAAGTCTTTTAAGTCTGATACGAAGAGAGTAACAGAACATCCTGATCCGAGACCAGTACGGAACCTCAGAATTGGCGACATCTTGGGCGTAAAAGTGGCCTGCACTCACCGTACGACTTCCGAGTCGTCAATGAAAAATAATTGTACAAAAGTTTAAGAACTGCCCAATCTTTATTACATATTACATGAGACTACTCTATAGTCTTCTCTAGATAATGCTATTCCTGGAAGTACAAACGTCCTTTACACTGAAAAATGCATACAAATTCTACAAAGATATTTATCAGTATACATTCTCGTCTCGTTTGTGACAAAACTTTTAGTTTTATTACAAGCTTAATTGGATGTTATTTCTTAGTTCAAAGTCAATTGAAAGAATGTCATTTTTGCTTTACGCGTTCTTTAAGTCTATGATCATACAAGATCCGTAAGTATGCTAAGCACATACAAATTAGCATCGTCAATGGAATTTGTCTGAATGAAGAGGAAGAACACACTCACCTTAGGAATCTTTCTTGGAATACTTAATTTATTGAGTAACTTATAGCTATTGATAGACTGTTCAAGGAAACGTCAATGTATACATTGGATTTATGAATTGAAGTAAGAAACATTAATAAATTGAATTGTCGCTAAGCGCCAAAGGTAAATATCATAGTCGTATTAATTTCATATTGAATTTGAACCTAATTTTAAAGGAACACATTATCAAATCAACAATTGCTCTAGACTTACCTTTTGCATTGGTAGTTTAAATACTTGATTTATCATAAACTTTGTTTGTAACCCATCGGCTGGTGTTTTATAAATTAGAGCGCTGGAGCTTAAAATACGTCTCCCAAAGGAAATTAAAAACAGATGTTTCCCCAAATCGTAGGAGTCCACATGACGTCACAGTGTCTCACATTAGAAAAACTGATTCAGTGTTCTTGTAAAATGGGACTTAATTCTCCATAGCCGAGAGGTACACACATCGATTTCAAGGTGCTGCTATCTCCTAAGGTCCTGTTGATTAATTATCTGGACTGTTTTGGTCTTAACTCGGGTATTGTGTTTGTTACCTACGTTACGTAATTCAGATTACCACGACTTAAAAGCATTAGCGTCTTCACTTGAGATCTCAGCAATGTATAAACTTAAGATCTCGACGGCGCATTTGTCAGCGTCTTTAGTTGGTGACTACTGAATCCAAAGGCTTGTCGCTAGATGAGTAAGAAAAACATAATATTAGGCCACTATATGTTTTACAAATTGGTCTTGGTTGAAATTGAGGTCTTGGAATCAATCTGTATTGTGATTGAGTAAGAATTTCTTCAAAAAAGTTTGTTATTTAGTAGTTCTGATAATTCATATTGTATAGTGAATGGGGGTTGGTCGGAATGGTCGCCTTGGGTGCCGTGTCGTTGTGGCACACAATCAAGTGGAAGACGGCGTGTACGCACCTGTACCGAACCTGAACCAGCCAACGGAGGAGCTCGATGCAGAGGAATGTCTTCACAAACCGATGAGGACTGTTTAAGATGTCAAAATAGTAAGTGGACCGTGTGATGGTAAAGTAGGACGAGTGAAAATGACTAGAGTCATAAAAATTTCTGCTAAGTTTGAGTAGCGAAAAATATCGTCGTGTTACAAGTTTATAATGTATTTATACGAAAAGTGAACCTCGTATAGAATAAGTTGCTAGTAAAAACGTTAAACTGGTTATAAATATAGGACTCGGTCTATCGTCATAGGTGGGGCATGGTCTCAATGGGGTTCGTGGTCACCATGTGGAGAGGACTGCGTGAGAGTGAGACGAAGAGAATGCACAGGAGCATGTTCCGGTTCAACCATGCAACATGCCTCCTGCGTCGATGGCATGTGTGCTGCAAGTAGTGAGTCCAACTTAAGTAATACTAAAAATAAATACATTTCAATACGTTGACTGCTGCTTATTGAAAGTCAAACTATGTCGTTATTGTGGATGTCTTTTTTCGGAATTTTTCATGTATCAGTAACGTTAGTAGTTTATTTCTCATCTATATTTAGGTTTACGCGCTAAAAAAAAAACAGAACCTATACAGGATAACTCGGTTGTCTGTCTGCTGTCGGTCCGTTTGTCACAATTGACTGTTTCGTAAAATAATGGACCTATTGAGTTAGAATTAGATACACATGTGAAGTTTTAATGATTATATAACTTCAATTATATAGAGAATAGAATTGTCAAAAGTCTTTTCAACGTGACTAATTTCTACAAAAAAATCTGTATCACTCTTATTAAAAGCAGCGAATTATTTGCCAGGATGGCTGGTGATTATAACACACTATTGTCGTAATATCAAGTTTGCCAAAATAGAAAAGATTTAGTAGAATTTATTTCTCTTATTTAGAATACAGCAACATTACTTTGTACGTGGGCATCGGTATCACTGTCGCAATGTTGACGGCTGGAGCTGCATTGCTTTTCGTCTGGTGTCGGTTCAGGAGCAGGCCTGGATACATTGCTGCTCGTACTGGTAAGAATTTACCGAAACCCACAAAGTATATGACTTGAAACTTTATCTGGATTTTACCATTGTTTTTGATTATTAATTATTACGCTATAAAATCCATAAATGCGTTAATAATTTCTAAAGATGTTCAAACAGGTATACCCAAGCCTTATGCAAACAACAAAGGCACTGGGCCGGATTTGACGCGTGCGTGCAATGAATATTGGATGCAGCCCGACAATCACTATGACATGCCTCATGTTAGAGATAGGTGAGTAAGAAAATTTCTCCTTAATATGTAACACACAAAGTATATCAATACGTTTGTTAAGAAACTTACACAATCGCCAGTCATAGGATAGATGATCAAAAATGTATTATCGATAGCAACTTCGTGCTTCGGAAAGCACGTTAAGCCGTTGGTCCCGGCTGCATCTGTAGTTGTTAACATACACTATTTTGCACTGGACCCGCGCAGTGGAACATGGCCCATTCTTCTTTCTGTCCCATTTATAGGGAAGGCCTGAGTCTCAACAGTATGTTTTCATTTTTCATCCTAGTATCTTATCATTATTATCCAAAATTTATTGATTTTCTCATAATATATAGCTACTCATCTCCGTTCGGTCACCGTGGTAGGCAACAGTCATCTGCAGGCAGCAATCACTATGAAATGAAACCATACAGCCCATCGGGGGAATCGGCGTCAAGCTGTTATACTAATTGTAAGTTAAGCGCTATCGTAATGATGTGGACTGAGTTGTCTGCATTTGGATTTATCTATTAATGTATCTGTATTGCTAAACTAGCCGTTTGCCGTGAATCGTTTATGATGTAGCTTCCTATAGGTGAAAGAATTTTCATGGTCATATTAATAATTTCCAAGATTACCCTCTATTACCAAACAAACAAAGTTAGAATCTTTACTTCTACAAAACTAGTAATTATGTAAATTTGAATCTGTTGTGTATGTTTATTGTTACCATGTTGAAGATAATTAAGATGGCATCTATGATGTTACCTTGAAATACAAATTTGACATCTTAGTTTTCCAATAGTCTATAAGCATAAATGAAATAGTACGCATATGTTGGTATTTGTCAATGTCTATTATAAATAATATTATTTTTGTTGGAAAAGGTATAGCTATTAAGATAAAATCAGTTTCTAATTAACAAAATTGTTTAGCTGCCAGAACGATGACGTCACGATCTAGCGAATGCTCCTCATCGCAGTTGGCGGAGTTGGTACCATCATCTTCGTCCGTCTCCAAAGTGGATGTAGCAGTTACATTGCCGACAGCACCATTAGACATTAGTTATAGAGACAAAATATGTTTAACAATCGTGAAATGAGATCAGTTCATTTCGTTGTTTCAAACATTTATTTATTTCTTTAGCGCACTTTTAAGTATATTATTTAATCTATAATATAAAAATGAATCGCAAAATGTGTTGGTAAGCGCATAACTCAACAACGCCTCGACCAATTTGGCCAAATCTTTTTTTAAAATGTTCGTTGAAGTTCAAGGATGGTTTTTACGGCGAGAAAAATTAGAATTATTGCTGGAAAAACCCTAAAAATAGCCCTTTTCTTTTTCCCATACAAATGATTTGTAACTAAAACGTAGTCAATTTGAGCTTTATTGCTATGGTATAAAGTTCATATTAAATTACAAGCACTCACTGTTGTCTAAGCAATGTAGGTGTGTTCCTAACGTCAAAGATCATATCTATCAAAACAATGTGCGTGTGTGCGTTGGAGCACAGAATACATAGTTGGAGGAGTTTAATGTCGCGTTCCGAAACTCGCGTTTCTTTTGTATTAGTTTCGGCACGCGAGATAAAATTTATCAGAATTTTTTTAAATACGTAGGCAAAAAAACTGCCACATTACAAATCTTTTTGACAGGACGAAGTCTGTCGGGTCAGCTAGTTATCTATAAATACTATAACATTATTATTTGTAAACATTGGGTTAAAATAAAATTCAGTTCTCATTCCTTTTTCTTTTTATGACTGTAAAATTGTAATTTCTGGGTTGTTCCATTATTGCTTTTGAATATCTTATTACAGAAGACTGACTTTACTTCTCGGACTATTTGATTGCCTGTAATTTCAATCATATACTTATTTTATTTAAGGCAAAATAACTCTCATATTGAAATCGCCCGAAACTACAATAATTAAAGTAATATAGAACGGTTTTTTTTTGCAAGACTTAGAATCTCTCATGCCAAACATTAAGCATTTTCACAATAAGTAGTTATGATTTTAACTTAGAAACTGCATTTGTCTAAACTAATAACATAAATTCTCACGTCAAGACTGATTCATTGTATTTAGTCTACTGCCAAGTTTTATTAATATTGTTGTGTTTATATTATTATTGATAATAATAGTTGTCGGATATCTAGTTTAATAATGTTGTAAATAATGTATTTTAATCTGTGATATTTTGTAAACAGTAAACGATGCTTAAATTTATTATTTTGGACTCTTATTTTCTATCCCTTTATATTCAAAACTTTTTATGAAAATGATGATATTAATTATTAGTATCAGCAAACTCGTTTTATTCTTAACGAAAAATGTCTTTTCACAATTCAGGCGACTGCTCGTGACCGAGTTCAAGTCCCATCTCAGAGTGTCAGGGACAAAGTGGATATTTCAAGCATTTTTTAAACTCGTTTAATCTTATAAAGAGTATTAAAAAGTCATTTTCATTTATACAATAAGTAATGTAATGGCATATTTTGAGGTTATGTACATATTTTGAGGTTATGTACATATTTTGAGGTTATGTACCCAGCAGGCCAATTCTGCATACATACATATGTTTAAGAAATAATCGCATCCCGTTAGAATCTCAATAACTTGCATTTTGCCATTGTATATTCAATCTGAATTCCAATATTATTACTGCTATATTTTCCTCACAAATCAATTGTGACATATGACATAATAATGGACTAGAAAATACAATACCAAAATGCAAGAAGTTGAGATTCTGTTAAGCGTTTTGCCGCCTCTGACGTCTGACTTTGCAATAAAATAAAATAAAATCAAGAGTATGCATATTATCTTCAATTCACAATTCAAAATTTACCCATATGTCCGTATTCATGTTATTTAGTGTAGAAATTCTGTTGGTTCCATTTTTGTATAAAAATACTAAACAAGATTGATTGATTCGTATGATATTTTATTATATATACAGATATTTTATTCCTATGTCATTTCGAAACTCACTTCACAATGTATTATTTCCAATTAAAGGTTGAGTTGATGCCGCTTTTGAAGTAAATTCGGACATGAATAAATTCGAATGAGGAAATATTAAAAAAAAAACGAAAGCACTAAAAAAGCACCTCCACTAGATGACGACTCTAGTAAAAATTTATTTTCGCAGGAAACGAATGGACCAAAGACAGTCATTTCCGTCCCTATTAACTAACATATAAAAAAACTGAAATTTGAAAAGTTCGAAACTTAGATATCAATACAAATACGAAAAAGTACGAATAGAATATAAGTTGTTTATTGAGTTTTGATAACTAATTTATTTTTATTTATTTTATTTATTTATTTATTTTATTTATTTAACAGTTTATTGTACACAATAAAAACACTAAAGTAACAATACAAATATAACTGACACAACAGGCACTACTTATTTCTAACCAGAAATTTCTTCCAGTAGGCCTACGGAAGGAGATTCATAAAAAGTAAGGCAGACACAACGTGCACAATAATTAAATTGAAAAATGAAAGAAAACCGGAAAGGTTGTTATGGATAAATCAAGAACGTACCGTGGCGACATCTAGTTACATTTCGGGAACTAATGTTTTTTTTAAATACTTCCTCATTTGGCTTCAGATTTTTACAGAATCGCTGGGCTGTTAATGAAATAAAAACTCCTATCATAACTATATAAAAATATCACATACAGTGAAATATGGGGTGAACTAGAAAAAATAGTTTAATACATTTGTCACGACATAGAATCAAACCCGAGATTGTGGATGGTCAGGAAAGCCTGGGGTACTCTGTCATAGGGTCGCTATATTAACGTAATTATTTTATTCCAGCCAAACTTAAACTTAAAATTTAATTCATCCAATTTGCTACTATTTTGAATGAAAGCTGTCTTTATATGGACTACATTGAGAAAAATTAACACATGAGGAAATAATTTGCATAATAAGGGAAACAAATCTATTATAATTTATAAAAGAACAGACAAGATTATTGCGCATTTGATCGATGCGCCGGTTGATAGGCTAATACATCCGACAGATATTTTAAGCGATTTTTATTTTTAGTCCCTTCGATTAATTAGCTTTTCTACTATTGTTTTTATGTCATTTATACGTTCAAATAATAAAAAAGAGATACACCCAAAGTCCGTAAAATTATCTTCATTTTCTAGATAAGATTAAATAGCAAAGAATGCATAAGAATGATAGTACATTACGCCTCAAACCCTTATCGGCACTATAAAACATCTTAGAGAGAGGTCTAAAAGGAATTAGAGGCATCAATTAACCAGCCGGACCACCAGGACGTCGGTACTTAATTTCTCGGATCTTATTAAGCATAAAGAGTCATCGAATAAAGCATTTTACAAGCTACGATAACATGGTGTTGTTTCAATATAATCGGAGTTTTATTAAATATTATATTTAAGACTTTGAGAAGGAAAACAATTTAAGGATAAAGCTTTATGAGTTAAATACATAGCATCTAAATCTAAAATTATGATGCAAATACTTATTTTATCCCATTAGAATGGGCAACCATATAATGACATTACCTATATCAAATGTGTTTGTTGGTGACATCTATACTTCTAGAATAATTAATACAATTCTAGAATTATTTTTATATCCGAATAACAATCTAAGTGTAAAAGAGTGGATGAAAAATAACGAAGAAATTAAAAAGAAATTATATTTACAATATAACTACTTTCTGATCGTGTATTTTCCTGCTGCTGCGTGAACTTTAAGTACTATTTCTAAAGATATATGGAAAAATAATCTACGATATTTCTTTTACTCTCTAGTTTTCTTGCTATGCTCCATATTTTGAGAGAGAAGCTTTGACAGAGCAGTGTTTCACTCGATCTGTTATACGTTTGTTAAGCAACTTTCGCAAGGACTGGTTATAGGATGGGTGATAAAAAAATTATTATCTTGAGCTCTTTCGTGGTTTGGAAGGCACATTAAGCCATCGATCCCGGCTGCATGCATGCATATGCAGTCGTTAAAACCCACCAATTCGGACTGGGCCTGCGTGGTGGTGGCCTATATTTACTCCCTGTTCGATTTGAGTCGATTCCATCCATTAATATGCTGGTGATAATGATGCTAATGTTGCAATCTAACTTATGTAGTAATCTGAGTAATCGCATCGTGATCGTATCGGATGCTATAAAGTGTTTTGATTTCAAGTGGCCGACTAATCAAAATGTTATTTTTACATCGCATCATTAGTCAAACTACATGAGTAAATCACGGGTACAAAGTACATTTTGTAAAACACATACATAATTGGTTGTTGGCATCGGAGGATCGCTTTGCATCACAAAAATAGTCTGGAATTTGTTAGACACAATGCGATTTGATAGTTTGTTGTGGTGCAATTTGATGGAATTTGCATTTATTATAAGAATATATTGTTCAAACTCTAAAAAAAAAGTATAACAAATAGATAAATATATGTATTAAAAAAACAAATAATATGGTTAAATAATATAATGTAAATATCGTAGTTGGTGGTTGAATAAGAATTACACTTTTGTTTTAGCCTCCTATTTATATTCAGGACAATCAGACATATGATGACATCGTGGTAGGACAAAGGGTGTTTGTTGTAATACTAATAAAAAGTGTTAGTATAAGTTATATACTTACATAATACAATTAGTTCCAATTTGGAATAATAAATGGCGCTTACCAATTGAGAATCGCGATAAAGTTTACAAATTAAATGGCTAAATTTTGAATCTTTCAATTGAACCCGCGCTAAAGACCTCGACTTTGTTAATAATAATAAAAATATTGATCTTAATTTTCTAAAATTATTTAACAACTAGCTGTACCCGCGACTTTGTCTGCGTGTAAAAGTAGAGTAATAGAAGTTTTTTTTTCTTTTCTATGGATGAAACATGAATAGGATCAATGGGCCATAACACATTATGTTGGCCCAATGCGAATCGGTGGGTGTCAACGACTGCTGATGTAGCCGGGACAACGGCTTAATTTTTATTCCGAAGCACGGAGGAGCTCATGATAATAATAAACTTTTCCATCCAATACTAGGTTGCCTGGAAGAAATTGCTGGACAGCGA